CTAGAGTCAACACACAGGGCTGTGTGATTAGTACTGTAGCCTAGCCTAGAAACACAGCAAAATCCTAAGACTAAAGGTCATATACAGAAATATTTGAGCGTGGAACAAAATGTTACAAGGCATCCATGCCTAATGGTAATAATGCCAGTAGTCCTATATCTTCCAAGATGTCCTGACCCATTTTATTGGGTGTTGCTTTTGGACATTCCGGCCTAGATCCAACGTGGGCAGAATCCTTACGCAATTCATCATTGTGCAAGTGGATGTACCTATACCATGCTCATAAATGGGGCCATCCCAGACCTCTTTTCGCAAGCAGCTCCTACAGCAATCAGCTGTGACAAGAGAGCCAACTAGGTGCTGATCACAGCCTCTCAAGCGCAGCTCCTGCCTCTGCTGCCTAAGGGTGGCAGAGTCTGCTGTGCCAGCTGGATGCTTGCTTGCTTCCTCCCCTCTGGGCTCCCGTGGAACTACACTAACAGAGCTTTATGATCCACCAGGATGGCAATGGAGCCAAAAAAAAAATCCAGAAGGACAAAGACATAAAGAAACAACAACAAAACACCCTAGAAACTTGATCTCGTTACATTACAAGACAGGACACAGAAAAAGATGAGTGCTGTTGATTTTGGTGGGGAACCGTTCATCTCTTGTGCTCACATCATGGAGGAGCATATGAACAAAAACTACATGCAGACAGGAATGGTTTAAAAATAGCCATTACTTTATTGGCTTCCACTCCCAGTTTAGTGCAACACCAGGCAAGTATCCAGGCACCAGGCAAGCCAACAGCTGACTGATACCACCGCCTAGCCCACACGCTGGACAGAAAATTGATGTGGGGGCAGCAATCTTAGAACATCCATGATATAAGTCAAAACTGTCCTTTCCTGCAGTCTAGGTATGTGACAGGCAAGCCAGTCCTGGAGCTAGGCTGGGCTTACCAGTGACCCCTCAAGATTCCTCAAAGGGATCTCCTGGTGTGGACAGCCCTGTGCAACTGACCGGGCTTAGCCAACCAAGATGGAATGTAAAAAAGAAGAGGAAGACTCCTTTACTCCCTTCTCCCCAAGAGAAAGGTACAAAAGGTCGGTGGGGTTGGCAGCTGGAGTATGAAGTTATTGTCATTTGGTACTTCCCTCTCTATTAAGGGACATGGTGAAGGTAAAGAAATAAAGAACATCTGTATTAATTTGTTATACATTCAGTTTGAGGGGACGTCACCATCTCCAAACCACAGACTCCAAACATATACAGAACTGACAGAAAAGACAAAATCATATCACAAAGATTTTTCTCTCTTCCCTTTATGATGGTGGAAATGCAAAAGCAACGCAAAGCGTGCTGCTTATATACCGCCCCATAGTGCTTTAAGCACTCTCTGGGCGGTTTACAAGTTAATTATGCAGGCTACACATTGCCCCCCCCCAGCGAGCTGGGTACTCATTTTACTGACCTCGGAAGGATAGAAGGCTGAGTCAACCTTGAGCCGGCTACCTGGGATTTGAACCCCAGGTCATGAGCACAGTTTTAGCTGCAGTACAGCAGTTTAACCACTGCGCCACGAGGCTCTTATTGCAAAGCAATAAACATCTGTTCTTTTCATTTACAATTCTGTACAATATTCTTGGCTCCAGCTTTAGGGTGTGGCTAAGTACTGAGCAGCACACAGCCACTTCGAATTCAGCACTTGGACGAGACATTTTGAAGATGACTAATGGACTAGCCAGACAGAATATGCGTTTTTTTGGGGGGGGGGAATGTCTTAAGAGCTGGCAGGCCATTTTATCTGCCCAGGTAACTGTAACAGACCATGCCATTGTAAATGTCTTTAACTTCTGCAACTTTTTCGAGTCATTTTTTGCCAAGGGACCTTACCAATGAATTCTGCTGAGATAAAGTATCTGCCATTGCTAGGTGAAAGGATTCACACAGCAGCTTTATGCTCTGTAAGTTGCAGCCATTATGAAAAAAAGATTCATTCAAAGACCACAGTGGTATTTTTCTCCCTTCCCTGAACCTAGATTACCACCAATGGAGAACAGACAACTCAAAGCCAAAACCAGACATTAACTGCATAGTTAACAACCAAGTTTTATTCAGAAAAAAAAAATAGCAGTAGCGGAAGGGGGATAATTTTCTTTAGGACTCAAATTTCCTTTCCGCTTGCAAAGCCTAATGAAAAAAAAGCTTGCATTTTTTACTACTGCGAAGCCAGTCTCTCAGGAGGTTCTACTGTAAATGCTGCTGGTCAGCTGACAGACCAGAAGGCAGTGGAGGCTGCCCAGGTTAGAAGGAAGACAAAGTGGCTAGTGAAGGGAATAAACACTGGGACATTATCTCTCCAGCTGGTTTCTTCCTTGTTCCTTAACTCATAGTCACTCCCCTTCCCATTTCCTCTTTTCCCTTCTCCCTTGTCCCTCCTTCTTCAATGTATAAAACAGAGGAAAGAGAAGAAATTATGCAGAAGAAATGAAGAAAGATACTAGTAACTATTAAAAATGGCAGAAAAAAACTTATTTATAGGACAGGACACTTTGTGGTCTTCAGTGGAACATTGCAGCTACATGTGCTTGGGGACTGAAGTGAGAGCTGTTTGAATAAGTCCAATATTTTATTGTTGCTGATTGCTGCAAGGAGAGGAGCAAATGAAACAAAGATCAAAAGGGCAAGAAAGCAGAAAATGATAAAAGGAGGGGAGGATTAAAATGGGAAAAGTGCAAAGTGGAAAAACTGTGGAAGTACAGGTTGGGCCTGCACTCTTCCAGAGGAAAAAGAGAACTTTCATGAAGACGCCCTAACATACTATCTCCACAGGAATACCATTACCACTATTCTAAACCAAGACCCTCCTTCAGCCTTTTAATTTGACAGAAAATAAACATATTTACTTTAGTTGCTGACTCTAGAAGACTTACTCTAAATCACGAAACTATTCATGGTCAGAAAGTTAATAAACCAGGACACAAGGCAGTATGGAAGAGTATGATAAACAGGCAAGGCAGGCCAGAGGAAAAAAGATAATGCTGATATAGGTGAAGGATTGCCACTAAAGATGGAGGCCGAATTCAGGGACAAACTGCGTGAATATGCAGGAGCTTCAAGGCACAACTTAGTCATATCTATATATTGTATGTCAAGGTTTTCTGTCATTTATTTGCCAAGGCCTTGCTGTCTTTTTTACAACTAAATGTGTGGGAGAAACAGATATAGAACAAGAAAAATTATTTTAGTGTTAATACTCTACACTGTAGAATTGTTATGTTCCATCCTTCCTGCAGTGGATATAATTGCCTCAAGAACCTTGTCAGATAAATATACTGTATAACAATTACGCACTGTAAGGTTGACCCTAATGTATGGTAACGCCTACCCCCAAGACTTCCCAGAAGAGATCTCCTAATCCTTTCTTTTGGTGTCACCATGGGACTATGCAATTCGCCCAGGACTCCACAGATAACAGGGCATGTAACTCTACCACCCACACTAGGCTATTAGTCCATCTTGCCCCAGACCCTGGCTGGTTGGACAAAGAACTCTCCACACTCTCAGTGGGATTGCTTTGCCTTTCACCCTTAGTTCTAACCAGGACTCTACCATCTTAAACTTTCAAAACTACAATGCCTTTATAAAGGAGACAGTCAGGCTCCATTATATCGTCAAAGACAGCAAATGGGTGGGGCTATGAAACATGGGTCAGAATTCTATTGGCAATTTGCAGATGCGTAAGTGAAAAGGCTTAAGATGCAGTAGCAAATTGCTGCTAATCAACAAGATACTGACTGTGCTGGTGGGTGTAGGCCCAATTTCACTTGACATGCATAAATCCACAGTAGGATCCTGGTCAATATCCTCTAAAACTCAAATAAATCATACAGCTGAAAGTTACATACATTTATGCAAAGTCAAATATTGCCTACCAGATTGTTTGAGATTGCAATTACTATGCACAGTTGAAAGCAAGACTCATTGAACACACCAGGACTTGCTATGAGTAAGCACACATTAGATGGTGCTGTCATTCCTAACCAGATGTGTTTAAGTGGAGGCTCCCAAGCACACCCAACTGTTCTGGACTGCGCCCACTTGCTACTACAGATGCCTGGCAATAAAACAGCAATATTGCCTCTGTAAGTTACTGTGATCTCTCCCACCCTAGAGCCATATTCATGCTGTCATTCCTAACCAGATGTGTTTAAGAGCACACCCAACTGTTCTGGATTGCGCCCACTTGCTACTACAGAAGCCTGGCAATAAAATAGCAATATTGCCTCTGTAAGTTACGGTGATCTCTCCCTCCCTAGAGCCATATTCTGTTGCATTAGTCCCCTTCCATTCCCAAGCAGACACCACTGCCAACAGCTGGATGGCAACAGAGCGTTTGTTCCAATGCAACAGTGATCGCCAAGGAAGTCTGGAATACTTTTCCCATGAGTTGTCCAAGCCTGCCATGAGTCATAAAAGGCCTCCCAGCAAGCCCCGGGCATACCAAACCCCCTTTCTCCGCCACCAGCTCCTCCACTTTAAATCTAAGAATGCAAGCCCTGAATGCAACTCCTAAACAATGCATAGGGAACGATCCTCCCCACCCCACCCCACCCCCGCACTCTGAATCTCCAAAAAAAAGCGGCCCTTCCCTTTCGGAAGAGCAAGAGGACTGCCTGTCAGTTAAACACACACATGCACACATGCAAAGCTGAATGCAGCTAAAAACACAGCGTTTTTTTGTTTTGTTTTGTTTTTTTGCATTTCATCTCGAGGACACGCTAGCTGCGCGCGCGGGAGACAAAAGCACAAAATGCAGAAGCCCTGCTGAACTGCTGCCATTTGCAAAAGCTACCCCCACCGGGGGAGGGGCCGGGCCGTTCTCCTATCTAGAAGGCAGTTTTCTCAGCAGGGGCTGGTAGTGAAAGGGTGGAGGGAGGGGAGCAAAAAACATTTCATCCTCGAGCCTACTGGGGAGCCGAACCGTAAACGCCCCGGGACTAGTCATTACTTACCGTACTCAGGTACGCCCCCATGGCTACAGCAGGGTCCTAAGGATTCACCCACAAGGCAGAACGCGGCAGCCAAACCGGCCCTCTCAAAACAACCCCTTCGCTGGGCTTAGTCAGGGGCTCCGCTCCGCCCGCTCTGACTCATTCCCGTCTTCCCTTCTGAGGAGGCGTGGCTATTAACCTCCGGGTCCTGCCCATCACGCGGACTGGCACCAATGCGGACCAGTCGCCTCCGTCGATCGCCTCCGTCCTGACGAACCGACGTTTGTTTAGGCCTCGAAGAGAAGGAGGCGGAGGAGGGACTGTGGTGGCGATTGGGTGTGATTTCTGGCAGGGAGGCGCGTTTGAATTGAAGCGGGGGGCGTGAGTGGAAAAAGAAAGGAAACCCCCTACAGGTGACAGAGGATCGGTGGAGGGTTTTACAGTGGAGTGGTATAATCGCATTTTGTGCAACGAGGATTTGGGGGGTTTTGGTTGAGGTGTGCCCTTAAACTTACAATTGTTCCTCTGCAGAATTTTTTTCAAACAGACACCGACGAATCCATCTGTGCCCACAAGGCTGACCTATAGAAATCACTGTTGCTTCAATGCATGACTTTGCAGTGGCATAAAAAACACGGCTGACCTATAGAAATCACTGTTGCTTCAATGCATGACTTTGCAGTGGCATAAAAAACACGGCTGACCTATAGAAATCACTGTTGCTTCAATGCATGACTTTGCAGTGGCATAAAAAACACGGATCTGATGCATGTGTCCTTATGAATTTGCATTATTTTTGATTGGGATCCTCCCTAAACCACCATCAAATCATAAATCTCATCGGTACCCGCTTCCAATTTGAATTGGAACTACCACAGATAGAGTGTTAGGAAGTTTTACAAAAGAACCCCTCCAGAACATGACCAAACAGCCTGAAAAAGAAAATACTGTACAACCATTTTACAACACCGATAAATCCTAAAACAGTCTGCATGTAATTCTGAGTACCCTGGGCTGTCCACAGCCAGCGTGTATACATAAAGTAGGGGAGAGTGCATGAGTCTCGGTGTGTAAATTATTAAATGCAAGCATTACGTACTTTTTATTTGTTTATTTAAAATATTTGAACCTGTTTTTCTCTAAAAAAGGCCCAAAGTGTTTGTGACAGACAGGTCAGTGACCACTCCTGTCCATCACAATGGAACCCTGATTCAGGAGCCAATGGTTGTACAGAAGAGGCGGAACTAAGGATATATAAGAGAAATGGAAGACAAAGATAAGTTAGAGTTTGAGTTAGGGATGAGAGTTGGAGTTAGAGACTTCAGTTAGAGAGAAGCAGTTTAGGCAGTTAGGACCAGCCTTGTGTTAGAGAAGGGTAATAGAGAGATATAGAATAAGACAAGGAAAGTACAGTGGTGCCTCGCTTAATAATTACCTCATTAAACGACGAATCCGCTTTACAATGAGGTTTTTGCGACCTCAATAGCCACCGCAAAACGATATTTAGATAGGGAAATTTCACTTGACAATCGGTTCCCTGCTTCGGGAACTGATTTTTCGCTAGACGATTATTTTAAAGCAAAATGGCTCCCCACTGTGCTTTAGGACAGATTCCTCACTTTACAGGCACCGAAAATGGCCGCCCCATGGAGGATCTTCGCTGGACACTGAGGTATTTAGCCCATTGGAACGCATTGAACCAGTTTTCAATGTATTTCAATGGGATTTTTCGTTTCGCCTGACAAGGATTTCGCTTAACAGCGATTTCAACGGAACAAATTATCCATGTCCAGCAAGGCACCACTGTACAGATCTTGTATGGTTTATGGTTATGATTGGAAAGAATTAGGAGTGAAAAGAAATGAATAAATACCTTGATTAAAATGATTCTACCTAAGCAAATATAAATGTTATCAAAGTACAAGTTGTTGAATGAATAAAATAAGACCATCCATGATTCACTTTACATGATTTACTGATAAACACATAAATAAACATTGTTGTATTGGAGAACTGTGATTTAAGAGTCATATTTAATAGAGTGAGGAATAAATCCTCTGTTGGAAGCGGAAAAGGGTTGAGAAATAAATGTCATACCCGAAAGTGAACCTGGGTTGTGTGGAAGAACAAACAGGGGAACTGGGTGTGTGTGACAGTGGTTTACATCATTAAAAGATAATATTGAAAAAGCTAAAAGCAATAAATTATACGTAATTAAAAAGAATCAAACAAATACCACACTACAAAGGTAAACAAAGCCAACGTGAAAAACAGATTCAAAGCAACAAGGCCTATTACTGCATCTAAAAAATCCTCCCAGACAGCTCATCACTAAGGGAAAACCTGTCTGAAAAGAAAGGTCTTCATCAGCTGTTTTTTTTGTGTAGTCGTTTAGTTGTGTCCGACTCTTCATGACCCCATGGACCAGAGCACACCAGGCCCTCCTATTTTCCACTGCCTCCCAGAGTTGGGTCAAATTCATGTTGGTCACTTCGATGACTGTCCAACCATCTCATCCTCTGTCTTCCCCTTCTCCTGCCTTCACACTTTCCTAACATCAGCGTCTTTTCAGGGAGTCTTCTCTTCTCATGAGATGGCCAAAGTATTGGAGCCTCAGCTTCAGGATGGGACCAGTGGCCATGATCTTAGTTTTTTTGATATTGAGCTTCAGACCATTTTTTGCGCTCTCCTCTTTCACCCTCATTACAAGGTTCCTTAATTCCTCCTCACTTTCTGCCATCAGAGTGGTATCATGTGCATATCGCAGGTTGTTGATATTTCTTCCGGCAATCTTAATTCCGTTTTGGGATTCCTCCAGTCCAGCCTTTCGCACGATGTATTCTGCATATAAGTTAAATAAGCAGGGGGACAATATACAGCCTTGTCGTACTCCTTTCCCAATTCTGAACCAATCAGTGTTTCCGTATCCAGTTCTAACTGTTGCTTCCTGTCCCACATATAGGTTTCTCAGGATATAGATGAGGTCGCAATCTTAATTCCGTTTTGGGATTCCTCCAGTCCAGCCTTTCGCACGATGTATTCTGCATATAAGTTAAATAAGCAGGGGGACAATATACAGCCTTGTCGTACTCCTTTCCCAATTCTGAACCAATCAGTGTTTCCGTATCCAGTTCTAACTGTTGCTTCCTGTCCCACATATAGGTTTCTCAGGATATAGATGAGGTCCTCAGGCACTCCCATTTCTTTAAGGACTTGCCATAGTCTGCTGTGGTCCACACAGTCAAAGGCTTTTGCATAGTCAATGAAGCAGAAGTAGATGTTTTTCTGGAACCCTCTGGCTTTCTCCATAATCCAGCGCATGTTAGCAATTTGGTCTCTAGTTCCTCTGCCCCTTTGAAATCCAGCTTGTACTTCTGGGAGTTCTCGGTCCACATACTGCTGAAGCCTACCTTGTAGGATTTTGAGCATAACCTTGCTAGCGTTTGAAATGAGTGCAATTGTACAGTAGTTGGAGCATTCTTTGGCACTGCCCTTCTTTGGGATTGGGATGTAAACTGATCTTTTCCAGTCCTCTGGCCACTGTTGAGTTTTCCAAACTTGCTGGCATATTGAATGTAGCACCTTAACAGTGTCATCTTTTAAGATTTTAAATAGTTACACTGGAACTATTTAAACTGTTCTTCACTTCCACTGTGTATTCATAAGGGATTTGGTTTAGATTATACCTAACTAGCCCAGTGGTTTTTCCTACTCTCTTCAGTTTAAGCTTGAATTTTCATATGAGGAGCTGATGATCAGAGCCACAATCAGCTCCAGGTCTTGTTTTTGCTGTCTGTATAGAGCTTCTCCATATTTGGCTGCAGATAATATAATCAATCTGATTACAGTATTGGCCATCTGGTGATTTCCATGTGTAGAGTCGCCTCTTGTGTTGTTGGAAAAGAGTGTTTGTGATGACCAGCTTGTTCTCTTGACGAAACTCTATTAGCCTTTTCCCTGCTTCGTTTTGAATTCCAAGGCCAAATGTGGCTGTTTTTCCTTTTATCTCTTGATTCCCTACTTTAGCATTCCAGTCCGCTATAATGACAAGAACATCTTTCTTTGGTGTCAGTTCTAGAAGGTGTTGTAAGTCTTCATAAAATTGGTCAATTTCAGTCTCCTCGGCATTGGTGGTTGTTGCATAAACATGGATTGTTGTGATGCTGAATGGTCTGCCTTGGACTCGTATTGAACTCATTCTATCATTTTTGAGATTATATCCCATTACAGCTTTTCCCACTCTTTTGTTGACTATGAGGGCTACTCCATTCCTTCTACGGGCTTCTTGCCCACAAAAGTAGATCTGGTAATCATCTGAATTGAACTGCCCATTCCTGTCCATTTTAGTTCACTGACGCCCAGGATGTCAATGTTTATTCTTGCCATCTCCTGTGCGACCATATCCAGCTTACCAAGGTTCATATATCTTACATTCCAGGTTCCTATGCAGGATTTTTTCTTTGCAGCATTGGACTTTCCTTTCACTTCCAGGCACGTCGACAGCTGAGCATCCTTTCGGCTTTGGCTCAACCGCTTCATTAGCTCTGGAGCTACTTGTCCTTGTCTCCGGTCTTCTTCAGTAGCATGTTGGACGCCTTCCAACCTGAGTGGCCCATATTCTAGTGTCATATCTTTTAGCCTTTTATTTCTGTTCATGGGGTTTTCTTGGCAAAGATACTGGAGTGGCTTGCCAGTTCCTACTCCAGGTGGACCGCGTTTAGTCGGAACTCTCCACTATGACCTGTCTGTTTTTGGTGTCCTTGCCCAGCATAGCCCCTAGCTTCTCTGAATTACTCAAGCCCCTTCGCCACGACAAGGCAGCAATCTGTGAAGGGGTCATCAGCTTGTGGAAGGGCAGTAAAGATGGGGCCAGCCTGGCCTTCTGCAGGAGTTTTAAAACAGGCAGCCATGTTAGTCTGTGCTAGCATGTCAGGCAAAAACAAAACAAGAATTTAAAAAAAAGAAAAGACAAAAATGCATCACCTTAAAGACTACTATATTTCAATGTGACCTTTCATGGCCAAGTCCACTTCCTCAGACATTTCCTGAAGGAGAGAGTTCCAACAGAGAAGACTCTCTCCTGTATCCCACCAAACACACTTGTGAAGGTGGCTGATGGTACCAAGAGAAAGGCATTAGACCAGTGGTGGCAAACCTTTTTGGGCCCGGGCCCAAAGTGT